TGAACGCCCTGGTGCCCGTCTTGCCCTGGGCGCCGGAAGACCCGTCCCGTTGCGTCTTGATGGCCAGGTCAAGGTCGATCAGAAAGGCAGGCCATGAAGGGTTATCCTTGTCCTCGTTCACCATCAGGTTCCGGGGGGAAACGTCACATTGGATGAGGCCAGCCACATCATGGAGCGACATGTATCCGTCAATACAGCCGGCCAGCCCAGTGAGAAGTGTAGACTTCGAGCTACTCTCATAGATTGGTTTCCCACAATCCCGGATAACGATGCGGCGGTGAACTCGATTGCGTCGGGTAGAGCCGTCGGCAGATTTGGACGGAGAACTTGACTGGGTACGTTTACTTGGGGGAGGAGGAAATGCCATGTCCACGCAGTCAGAGGATCGTTTTTGGCCGGTGCTGCTGCCCTGGCGCTTTTGTTCCCTTTGAGACCTACTACGCCGCACTGTTGCCTTAAAACCACCCTTCTCATCTTTCGAAATCGGAAGACTGAGGCCCTTTCGGATAGCCAAGACATCATCATCCTTGTCGTCAATGCGAACTGTCTCGTGGTGATAATACCTCGCAACATTCTTGACCCCCTTCGCCATCGCCTCTCGCAGCAACTCTCCTTCCTCAGTGCGTTCCGGATACTGCCAGGAGTCCTTGACAACCAGCGGCGTCCGTGATTTGTCTGTCTCACAGTATACCTTCCAGCACGTTGTGGCTCGCCCGGCAACACAGCGTGCTCGTCCAACAATCTCGTCGATGATCAGCCGTTCTCTCATACCGTTCTTCTCAATTTCGATATACCGTTCGGTCCCGGTCGCGACGATGGTAGGATCAAACCCAAGTTGTTTCCGGCTCATCAAAAGGAATCCAAGGATAACAGACACAAATCGAAGGCCGTCCTGGTTGATATTGAATTCCTCCGACGCGATCCCGCCCAGACGGTCAAAGTTCCACAGTCGTAGGAACGGCCCGCAGAGGGTGAACCCGAGCACGAAACGACGGGTATCCTGCGCAGCAAGGACCTCTCGGGCGTACCTGCCAAGATCAAACCATGCACCGGATTTCCTGTCGTATTTCGGGTCGTTTTCAGCTCCCCTGG